CACCCACACTCAGAATATTGAGTCGACGTGGAATACGTGCAAGTACAACATCAAGATGCACAAAGGCATTCTTGGTGTTAAACTGGATGAACTGTTGTGTGAGTTCATGTGGAAGCACAATACTGGGAAAAGAATGGGCTTGATAGCATTATTTGAGCTTCTTAGGATCCAATAAATCACTCTAATTCATGTTTTTATTTTTACTAAGAAAACTCCATGGGGAAAAAAAGGGACCTTAAAATCCGATGGGGAAAAAAAGGGACCTTAAACTGAAATGGGGAAAAAAAGGGACTTGATCCAAAATTTGTAGTACAGAACATCAGGACAGTGCTTCTACAGGATTCTCTATATTTATGTCGAGCAGTGTATATGGCGCTTGCATCCAGAATGGTTTTCTTCCCCTGAACATATAATCTACAGATATATAGGTTTAAAAACTGATGTGTGGATGTGTGCGCTTAATGTGATGTTCGATATGTTAACCCTCAATTTGGATGATGTAGGCGGTCGTGGAAACCCTAAACAGTTTGTAGATGTACATTTTGGGTTGAATTTGAGGGATGCTATTTACAATGTGGATACATATGAACCGTTTGATTTTAGTTTGCCTGATGGCTGTTCAGATAATTTGAAACACTTTATGACATACTGCTTACAGGCTAGAGAAGAAAATAGACCAAGACCAAAAGATTTGTTAAACCACCCATTCATCACAAACGTTGCTCGATGGTAAAAGAAGACTAAAAACATATTTTAGTAACAATAGTGAGAAAAAAATTGAAGCATATACATATTTTAATGTTATCCATAAAAGTATTAAGCTAGGTTTTCTTTTTACAACTCTGTTAGGAAATAAAAATCGCACAGTGATTAAATTGTGCTATTTTTGTTTTTGTTCGCGTATACAATATAGTTTAGTAGATGATAAGATGTCACACTTTATTATTAATATTAAACAATGCATGATATGTAAACGTTACCTATGTGAAGGATTGATGAACCATTAAAATATAAATAAAAACAACTACTACTTAGGTTATCTAAGTCAAATATAGATCAGTTTCAATAACACAACAGCAAACAGTATTAAAAAAATAAAACTGTGCGCAATAATCTTATATTAAGTATCATGAAATATCAACTTAAATAACCATTCCCTTATTTTTAATGTCAAATTATATTATATATTAAACATATTTATATTGTAATTTTTGTTTCATGTTATTGATTTCGTCATTATTATATATACATCTTAATGCCATAAAAAGTAGACGGTTATTTTGGTTCTAATGGCAAGTTAAGATTTAATATATATACAAATCTAGTGAAATTAGATTTACTATTTTAAGTATTATTGCTACGCAAAAATGAAATAAAAATAAAAGCAACACATTATAATGATATATTTATATAATAATATTTCTAGTGTTTTTATACATTATATACCAATATACGATTATTTTATAATCACGTAGATTAAGAGTCCAAACCAATGAATATAGTGAAGAAACTCAATTCACAACATGGAATAAGTAATCAAATAACATTAAAGCGTATAGCAATGATCTGAAAAGCAATCATAAACTGTTAAAAATATGAGTATGCACATACAACATATTAAATTGAAACATGGCTTACAACAATCAAAATTTAATTAAACTCACAACACATGAGTATTTTAGGACGTAAAAAGTTGCGACTTTGCTTTTTATAAATAGCCTTTGCTTTTAAGAACGAATCATATAAAACAAAGAACAAAAATATCTGAAACAAAGAGATCATAATAAATATTCAGTTGTTATTATTACAGCATAATCAAAGGAAATATGATTGTGTGTTATAAATAACGAGGTTTCACGTTTATTATTTGATTATTTAGCATTTAAAATATACGAAGGAATTTATGAAAGTTGATTCATATACTTTAAATATATGGGATGGGTTTATTTGATGACATTATTCGTTTATAAAAATAACTATAAAACTTCTGAACTATGAATGGATTTAAAAGAATAAAAACATGACAGTCACTTATACATTAAAACACATCCATATAAAAAGTTTTTTTTGTCAATAATTATATTTCTTTGTGATAAAATAAACAAATGTAAATCTCTTTATAATTCGGTAATTGCTTTTACAATTATATTTTAAATTCCCGAACTTTAGGAGAAATATTAGAACATTGCATTCTATTGTAAAGTTTTTAGTTAATAAAAATCATATCGTTTCTTTAATAAATGAAAACATACAATATACCAAATATATATCAATGGCAATGCAAAGGTTTTCTCAATAAAATAACCCTTCTTCAATCTTTCATTATCTAACAAAAACTATAATTTATTTGATTTGGATTATTTAAATATTCTATAGTGATCTTGTTCATTCTTATTGCTGCAGGAGGAGAAAAAATCGATGGGTAGCCTCTTAAAACACGTCCAATACTTTTAAATTTCATCGGCTATGCATTTTTGTGCTTCGCCTTCCAGAGCCTGTGAAGGTACGGATCTTTTTAAATATAACGACAGTGTAATGTCAACTATAAATTAAATATAAAAACATTTAAATTTAAAGTATGGTAATTATAATAAATGGCAAAATACAAAAAAGAACATATTTACGAAACGTTTATTAATAACTTTCTATATATCTACTCAAACTAAATACACTATCAATTATTATTTGAGACTAAATAAACATGTTATAAAGTATATTTTCTATGATACATAATTACTCCGCAACAGAGTGTCTAACACAAAAAATATTTATAGAATAGTATAATAAAATATGAATGTTGATTAATGTAACTAAGTTATATTTTGTTTACTTCCAGTTATTTTCTAGATTATTCACTAAATTAGAATAATCTAGATCTGTTATGCAAATATAGACAGGTAATTATCTAATTTATACTTTAATTACTAATCGACAAAATAAGGAAGCTATTTGTGTTTAAATAGAGTTAAATCATTTTAAATTTTAAGTAGATATTTTATTTACCACTGTAGCATATATTCTTATGTTAGTCTTTACGTTATTTGATTTAGAATGCTTTAAAACTTTGTACTGAACATATATACTTCAAGGGTAGAAATTTATTGTGCAAACACAAAATTCCCAAGTTATCCATTAAATAATACTCCAAGTAATGCAGAAATAAACTAACTATTGAATTTATTTTTCTAACTATGCACATATTATTGACTGTAATTAATGAACATCCTATACCCACGGAAGTGTTTAAAGTTTAAGGCAAATACTTCAAACATATTATATAATTAAACTTTGAATAGAATAGAAAACTAGTCATTAGCATGCTTGTTATTTGTACACTAGCTGATGCAATTCTTGATTTCATGTTATATTATGTGTATATAAAATCTTAAAAACCTATGACATCTCATAATTTTATTTAATACATTTTAATCATAGAATATGTGTTGGCATTTTTTTCAAATGCATGCGATATTAATTCACTGTAAAACAATCTGAAAAGTATATTTTAAATTTACTAAATAACATGTTGTTTTAGTGAACAAAATTGCTATTTGCGTACATTTACATTATCACAAATGGTAAATAACCAACTGTAAACACCCAGTCTCTTATTTAATGTTATTATTTCTTTTGCTTTCTGCCAAAACATTGTAGCAGGTGAATCTTCGAGCAAAACATAGCCCATTTAACTCGATAACGTCTTCATATGATACTGATGATTTAAATGGTTTGTGTTTACTTATATCTCACAAAAAAGATGTTCTAAACTATCAATTGTACCAAAAGCAAAAAAACATTTTTGGTTGATTATTAAAATAAAAGTAAGGAATATATCATATGATAAGTTAACAATTAGAGAATACGTATATTATTTCAAATTATAAGATTAATAATTTTCAACACACATACTAAAGACCCCATAGTATTAATAGTACAAAAGAAATACTCATTTTCTTAGAAAGCATAGAAGTTACTATTAGAAATTGGTTACATTTGAAAAGCCTTTTATTAAACTCAGATATTTAAAATATCTTATGAAATTAAGATTCACTTTATATTTTTTATTTAAGATTCTGTTCTCTAGTAAATTATAGCTATCATTTTTTGACGTTATATAACATTGCACTTTTATTGTTTTTTGTTCTAAAATTATTAAAAACATGTATTTTCAAATCAAATACCTTAACAATTACAAAATTATTTGAGCAATATATAAATAGTTCTATTCAACAATCAAAATATATATATATTTGTCAGCAACACCACAATATTTGAGTTTAGCATAAAGTATTTGCCATTTTTTAATTAGTTAGATTTTTATGTTTCTGAAAATATTGACCATTCGCTTTAAAAGCTGTTTATAAAAAATCTTATCAATATATTACGGCCAATATAATTTATGATGCAGCTAAAGTAGCATATACTATTTAACTACAAATAATTATTTTTCTTATGAATTAAATTGTAAATAATATAATTATTGAGCAAAGACCCTATTACATTTATAGGATAGATTAAGTAATAAATTTTCTGTTCATATTAAAAAAAGCTTTTTATAACAATAGCTTATAAAATACTTCAATAGTTTTCGCTTAATATGATTTAAATAAGTTTATTGTATATACGCTTACGTAAAAGACTATATAATTTTGTACTCTTTAACCAATTTAGACTTATATATTTTAATTGCTAACAACATTTTAGTATAAACGTTTTATTAAATTATACAAATATATTTGCTATATTAGCATGATAAAATTATTGTTTTAAACCTTCTAGTTTGATGTGATCATTTGGTCTATAAATTTATTAGTGGATATTGCTATTTTATTTGTTTGAATGTTTATCTTTATATCGATTCAGTATAATCTATTTTTGAATAAACTACAAGTAAATAACTGAAAACATATAATATATAAATGTATTTTAAAAATTTCTGTTTAATGGATTATACCATTCAATAATTATGATATATTCTTAATCATTCTTATACTTGGCTTATACTTAAAAAGAGAATCGTTTGTGTAAGGTTCCTATATGTTAGCATAACTTTAACAACAAATATAATATATTACAAATTAAAATAGTAAAATACATATAAGTTTAATTTATTAAATGTGTTTAATTGAGTTTATAAAACAGTAAATATTATTTATTTTACAAAACTAATTGTGATACGCTATAATAACAGCTTCAAATATTTTTAAGACACGCTTGTGTTTTTAAGGAGGGCTTATCAAAACGCTTTTTAATCTTATTTTTAACATACATAATTTAATACAACACCTAATTTTCTAGATCAATTCAATATTTATTATGTTTAACAGTATTATAATCTGATTTGTTAGTGTATTTACTTTTTGAGTTACATATGCATACTATTATGAAATTTAAGTTTAACTATTGTAAATAGCATATAAGTTTTATCGGTATGTAGTTTCAAAGTCTTGTATTACCTATTTTTTAATAATTTTAGAAAGACAAATAGTTTATTTAAGAGTTCTTTATTTATTATATTTAAAAGAACCTGTTTATCCATATATGGGAAGGGCTAAATATAAAAATGTATATAAAGTGAATACGAACGACAACCAGATGCGTTTTTAAAGGCAGAATATACCTCAAGCTTTTTGTCAACATTATTGTACTAGAATAATTAATTTCACAGTCTTCGATTATATCTATTGTGAACAATAAAACATCTTCTTTTATACTGTTAAGATATGAATACTGTATGATGAACTTGCAGTGAAAAATGTAATAGTATAAAAAGCATAATAGATTGTATATTCTCAAATTAATTTATAGCAATCACATACATTATTTATATTTAATAGATATTAATATAACAAAATTATGTATTTTCAAAGTTACACGCAAATAATTACATAATAGACCTTAATGGAAACATATAAACAAGTTAAAAGAATTAACATATTTTATTGTTAGTTTACATATTTTGGTGGTGTAAAATCTATTAAGAATACAGTAATCTATTAAAACCCTTACGAAGCTTTGCCATGATTCTAATGAAAACGTATGTAGAATACTTAAATGATTGGATATGATAGCTAGCAATGGTTAGATGAAGTTTTACTAATTGTAAATTGTTGATGTATATTGAGACTATTTCTAAATATAATCTATCACTACATTTAACTTGAAGATTAACGATCGAATTAGCATCAAAGTTTCGACTGCATTATATATTGCGTACGAATACATTTTTGTTCATGGATACATACCTAATTTTACACTAGTCTTTTAAATTTGATATATTTAAATTTGATAAATTTATATAGGCTTTTCTTTTATGATCAAGATATTTGCTTCGACTGTACTTTAATTAACACAAAAATTTACATTTCTATATTTGTATCATAAACATTCAAACTTGATGTCTCAATGGCAACTGTAGATATTTTCAAGTTTAATTTCAATATATCCATATTACAATTTATTTATTCAAAATGAATTAAAATGTTTATGATCAAAAAATTTTATAGTCAATAAACCATTTGCTTTATCATAACCAACAAAAGCAACACTAAATAAGCATATACTTATTTATTAATTTTGCATCGTATTTTTTAATACCAACTTCTTTTTGTAACTATAAATTATCAGATTATTTATAAATGTTAAACGATGCAAGAATTTACATTTGTTTTTTATAACTATTTAAAGACACCTACAACTTTTTATAGTAAGGTACTAAATATATAAAATGATGCATGTTATTATAGTATTCGTTAAATGAAAAGCAACACTACTGTTTAATTTTTTACAAAAATTTTAATATGAAACAGTTTAGTTTACAGATCAAATAATTTAGTTTATATAATCATTTGTCTGCTAGATAAAATCATGGTTTAATCACATATTTATTTGCCATTGTAAATTTATGCATATGATAGTAACAAAATCTATTTATTTAGAAAAGTTGAAAATATATTCTTATAATGTATTGTAAAAATTATATACTGCATTATACTCTAAACAACATATATTCTTTTATGATTATGTTTTCATGAAATCGGATGTGTTTATAATTCTTTTAATTTTTTTATTGTTCACACAATTAACATTGTATTTTCTGGATATTATTATACATATGTTAATGTCTTGTAAAGTGTTTTTGGTAGTATTAATATTAATACTTTAAATTATGCTAATATTGCGGTTGTTAAAACCTTCTATTTTTGCATGTACCACTACATGATATGCAAGTATGTAATCAAGTAGCAAAATAACATATTCTCAGTTTATAAAATTTATATAATGCATTTTGAGTGTAAATAATCTATTATTATTAGTTTTGATTACATTTTTTTCTTTCATAATTGGAAATGTTATTGTGGTTTATAATTTAATTATGGGAGGCAGCTTAAAAGACGCATATCTCAATTATACTTTAAATCATGTACGCTTGTATAAATAATCAACAGGGCATGTTGCAAATATTTATATTATTTAACATAACATATACTCTCTATATAAATGTTCAATCTTATCATAGGATGCACAATTTATAAATTAATATCAAATTTTACTAGAATTTAGTGTATATTAGGGCAACCCGGAAAAGTAAACAAAGGCAAATAACACCAGCTAGCAAACATGACACCATAAAACACATGTGGGTAGCTTTACCTCAATGAAAGACGTAGTACTTTCAAAAACCCAAGCAAACAAGTTTGTTTCAGAATGTTTACAAAATGGGGTTTGGTGATTTCTGTTTATATTTATGTCAATAAAGATTACGTCCAATTCAAAAACCTTACTATATTAATATGTTGTTAATAGGTAATGTGTAATATATAATTGTTACCTTGTAAATGAGGGTAGTAAAGTTTTTATCCAAACCTAGGCAATGAGCGCTTAGGATAAATGTGGCCGAAAAAATAATGGTTTTACCCCTGAATACAATTTTTCGTCATGCGCACGTAATAGAACTATACCTCGGTATGTTTGTCTAGAATTTATGAGATTTTAAAAAATAATATTTCTCATCACATTTTATTGTATCTGATCATAACGTAAGCCTCAAAGTTGGCCATGTCGAAATTTCGATCCTTTGCCATCATTTTGGTCACCATAGAAAATGATCGCTCCACCTCAACAGATGTTGATGGACATTTCTTCAGGCGATCAATTTGTCCGTTCCCAACACCTGTAATTGTGTTGTTACAAATTTCACTTATCAGGTTCTTATTAAATTTCTTAGTGTAATAACCCATCAAATTGAATGGATCATTTCGAAACTTAATTTTTGAACCCATGTCATATGCTTCCTCAATCGAGAAAGACCGTTTCTCAACCCTCTTTATGAGGTCAGGTAAGTGTCCATAACAGTCCGATATTTCTTTAATATTATCCTTAATATCAAGATTCCTGGACTGTATATCCAACAGTTTGAAACTGTCACTTTTGATACCTGACCTATTCTGATCACAAAATATCAATATGTGATCAAAATAGGTGTTGATGAAGTTCGTTGCCCTTAACAATGTACCCCAACGAACACGTATTGGGTGTTCAAACTTTCCAATCGACCTGAAAAATGATGTAGCTTCAGGGTTCCTGCTCAAAACGTGACTAAACGTTTCAATAAATTGCAATACTCCCTGATAACGTCTAAATATTTCCTCAGACATGTTATGCAGGATGTGCGCAAAGCAGGTGACGTGCAGACAGTTGATGTAATGGCCCGAGAACAACCGACACCAACGGATGTTCTAGGAGGCACCATCAGTGATCAACAGGCAAAGCTGCTCATGTCGCAAACCATATTCAGCAAATACCTGAAGTATTACGCTGTTTAGCATCTCTGCGCATGCCGAACCTGTGATAGCTCGTGATGCAATCAGAAATCGTTTATCAGGACGCATAATCAAACCACATATGACATTAAATATCTTATGCTTCTTCTTTTCAGTCTCATCTATTATTACATAGACCTGCTGGTTTGATATTTGCGTCCTGTTAAGCGATTTCTGATCAGTTGCAATATCAGCAACCATGCGCCTACAAACCGACTCGCTGGGAGCTCCAACGTTCAGATCGTCAAACATACGTTTGATCGACTCTATTCGAAGCTTGTAGAGAGGAATATCAGCTTCTAGAAAACCTTTTGTAACAGTTTTCGCGACCAACCTATCGTTTTGATAAGTTTTTGTAGATAACACATTGAGTCTAGTACATAAAACATTATTTTTATGTAATATTGACCCAATGTGTCGCCTGACATCCCTTGATGTAAGGGATTTAATGTCAGTTCTACACGCACAGCAAAACAGAAATCTGTTTAATACCACAAAAAGCGTTTCTGGTTCTAAACTGACCAATTCAGCTATCTTTGCAACCTTACTTTTTTTTGATTGTCCCATTTAGTATAAATTTCAAGGTTTTTAACATGTAATGGAGAATGACAAAAAGCGAGAAGTAAACAAATAAAATATTTAAAATGCCATGTTGGTTAACCCCTAAAATTAATATACAGACATTCGACAACAAACAATATTTACTCATGTTTCGGAGGAGTAAAAGACACACAATTCCTGGGTTGCCCTAGTGTATATACACGCGTCAATATCAATACGTATATTTGTTCCTAGCAAACATGCTCACAAATAGCCTGTTTAACGATGACCACACCACCAACTCTTATCAAAGGAGAATTTAAAACAAAACCCCATAATCTTTATTATTAATGTTGTGCGAGACTAATTATTGAGGTTATCACAACGCTTTTCAAAGATCAAAAGAATACGTAATAGATATATCGATTATTTGTAAAGAACCAAGAAGTATAACCAGAGATATATTAAATCCTTTTGTCATATAGATGGTTGGAAAGAAGAAGGATCTTCAGGTACAAGAGTAAGATAGTTCTGCAACCAAACACAACAATGAAATCAACACCTTACCAAAATTCTTGATATTTTATCACCAACTAATTTTATTATTCTGATCGCAATGTTTGATATTCATTCCTTATCTTATTTACTTCTATTCTTTTACACGTGTCAAAATTCCCACCCTGTTGAATGACAGTAAAGAAATTCAGACACAATAATGATAGTGGTGTCTTCACTGAATCATCTGATGATGCAAACAAGATGGTATTAATCAAATCAACAGATCCAATTGATTTCTACACAGGTGATGGCAGTTCAGAAGCAGATAGCAAAGAAGTAGATTCTTTGAATTCCAGAAAACATGCAATTTGTCAATTTGGGGAGTCTACTCAACTGCATAAGGCTCATTTAGATAGCACAATATACTTCCCACCTCACATAAAGCTACTTGTCAAGCTGTACAAAATCATTCTGAATGTCTACAATTACAGCAAAACCAGAAAGCTCAATTTGATTTACGAGTATCACAAACCAAGTATGGAACAAGTGTTTGGTCAAAGAATAACTCAGAAACACCTCAGACAGTTGAAATTCATACTACAGGATTCAATAGTCTTCAAAGAGATCAAATACGGTGAAATATACACATTTATAATCACAATAGCAAAAGAGGAACCGGTTGAAGTAGCGATTCTCAAACTATTGCACAAGAATCACAATAACTGGTTAAAACAGAACAATCTTGAACACAAGGGTAAGCGATTTCATATGGATTTTGATCTCAGTACGGTTGAAATTGGTCAGAAGGAGCTGTTTAGCCGTGTCATGGATTCTATGCCACACTCTGAAGATATTGTAAAGAGGACAGCTGATGAGAAATACAAAATGATTTTAGAAAGAAACAAAAAGCAGGAGGATGAACGTAGAGCTACATTCATTAAGAATGAAGTAGGGGAGAAAACAGTCGTAGAAAGGGCCAAATTGGAATATGGTGCAATACTAAAAAGAGTAGAAGAAAGAGAAAAAATCAGGAAAGCAGAATTCATAAAATACGAGCAAATGAAAGTGAACTACACCGATAAACTGGATCGGATATTCAGGGTAGAAGACAGGAGAGCCATAAGACTATCAGAATTAGAATTCAGAATCGGTGATGTCAGGGCAAGAGAAAACATTTTGGGTGCATTAGGAGACAAATACACCAAAAAAACAATCAAAGACGACATATACATCGTAAAACAGGACAAAAGTGACAAATAAATTATGATCAATTGCATAAAAAAAATTTACAAATGTTACACCATAATGACTTGTCTACAGAAATACATTGATTTGATTCAGAAGAATTCAACACCAGCCGTAATAAAGAACAGGACAGTATTCTATTTGAGGACATTGGACACTGATGATGCTGCTCTAGCACTACAGAAGTGCATTTGTGGTAAATCAGTATTACTGGATCACGAGGTAGCATATGTCCTAGGACAAATGAAAAGAGAAATAAGCATTCCATTTCTGATTGGATTGGCACAGAATACAGAAGCAAACCCAATTGTACGCCACGAAGCTATTGAAGCTCTCGGAAACTTCTCAGATAAGGGCATCATAGAGAAAATTGAGCCATTTTTGAAGGATGAAACAGACTTAGTACGTGAATCAGCCATTTTGGCAATAGACAAGCTCAAATTGGATTTCCAGGGTGAATTAAGCATTTTTGGAAGCAGAGACCCAGCACATCCAGCAGAAACAGACGACTTGGAAAAGCTCAGGCAAATGCTTACGACTGGAACACTGACTGAAAAGTATCAGGCAATGTTTAAACTTAGGGATCTCAATACGAAGGAAACAGTTAGAATACTGGCAACTGGATTCCAGGATCCATCTGGGCTATTGAGACACGAAATAAGCTACGTTTTTGGTCAAATGGAGAATGAACACAGTATAGATGTGTTAGAGAGTGTAATAGAGGATGAGAATGAGGAGGACGTTGTACGACACGAAGCAGCAGAGGCATTGGGTGCAATTGGAACAGAAAGATGTAAGGAGATTCTACAGAGGCATAAGAATACAGAAATACAAATTATAAGGGAAAGCTGTGAAGTTGGATTAGAAATACTTGACAAAGACAGTGAGGAATATTTGAATGTGGACTAATTAGACAATCATAGGCGCGTAAGAGCCAATATCCTACACTCTGTTGCAAAAGTTTGTGGACAGCCATAAACTTCTTGATATACTCTCTTTTACGGCTCTTATGCTACGCGATACACTTTTTACGTTGCTCTTTGCTGTTTCTTTTTATCTGAACTCAAATGGTTTGATGGTTGAACAGATAGGGACTAATTTCCAAAAATGATTTAAATTCTTGTTGCAAAAATTTGTGGACAACGCTACAACAGCAATATTAATAAGCGGGCACAAAATTCCATGCTTATTTTAATGTTTAACGTGTCTAAAAACCTATCAGGTGGAAAAGCATTTCTANCAAAAGTTTGTGGACAGCCATAAACTTCTTGATATACTCTCTTTTACGGCTCTTATGCTACGCGATACACTTTTTACGTTGCTCTTTGCTGTTTCTTTTTATCTGAACTCAAATGGTTTGATGGTTGAACAGATAGGGACTAATTTCCAAAAATGATTTAAATTCTTGTTGCAAAAATTTGTGGACAACGCTACAACAGCAATATTAATAAGCGGGCACAAAATTCCATGCTTATTTTAATGTTTAACGTGTCTAAAAACCTATCAGGTGGAAAAGCATTTCTAAAGGTTGAACAAGAGATCACTTTAATAGTGATCAAACTAAACACAATTTCATAATGATCTGCTACGACACGAACATATAAATAGCTGCTATGCATGTTACAGAGGCTATAAACCTTGTTAAGGATACCTTTGTATGTTCTGAGCACTCAAAAAGGCTATTGGAGTAAGTATTTCATTTAATGATCAGGTTCATTTCTCTAGAAATCATGCTCAAGAGGGCTATAGCAGGAGAAACATATACAAATATGTATAAAACGAGCGTTTATTATATTGTAGTAGGTTCAAGCAGCTATAAATGAATTATAAGGCTTGTGCCAACACTATTAGATGATAAGAAACCTTAAGCTCAAAAACGATCACATAAAAACATGCTAATTGAACTGTATAAAGAAAGGGAAACATCTGGAATGATGTGAAGAGGTTTAA